TTTTTGTTCCTGCAGCATCTTGGTTTGCTAACTCCAGAAGCAACACTTAGGTGGGTTCTGGGCTACTTATCTCTCCTGCTCCTTCCAATCGGGAAGTCAGATGCTGTGGTAACAGCTGCTGTTGCTACAAAAGAAAAACCCTGTTCAAAATAGCAGGTTAGTGAGCTGTAGCTCACGAAAGCTCATGCTCAAATAAATTGGTTAGTCTCTAAGGTGCCACAAGTACTCCTTTTCTTTTTGCGAATACAGACTAACATGGCTGTTACTCTGAAACAGGTTAATATAATAACTCGGCTTTTCTCTGGGCAAAGGGGATCTAAGTTCGTTAGAAAGTGTCATTTCATTCCAAGTTACTAAACCAGGGGGAAAATAGACATGTTATGGAAGTGACCCAGCAGAATTAGCCAAAAAACCCTTTCCTCTTTACAAAATAAGTCCATATATTCCCCAGACTAGTTTCCCAATAAGCCACCCTCATCCTCCGCTTCCATTACTAAACTTTCAAGCTTTCAACCTCGTGGTCCTAATTTTGATCTCGCACTATTGTAAATCTGGAATACCTGTGCTGAAATGAATGTTATACTTGTTTACTACAAGTCAAATCAGAACTAGGCTCTGAGTTTGAATCTCTTCTATGATGTCATAATTGATGTTCATAGGTTTCTACTCTTAGACTAGGCCTTGGACTACTGTACCTTGCTCTCATCTGAATGGATCTTCCCTTCAGGAGCTCAGGTTTCAGAGGAACAGCCGTGTTAGTCTGTATTCGCAAAAAGAAAAAGAGTACTTGTGGCACCTTAGAGACTAACCAATTTATTTGAGCATGAGCTTTCGTGAGCTACAGCTCACTTCATCAGATGCATACCGTGGAAACTGCAGCAGACTTTATATATACATAGAGAATATGAAACAATACCTCCTCCCACCCCACTGTCCTGCTGGTAACAGCTTATCTAAAGTGATCAACAGGTGGGCCATTTCCAGCACAAATCCAGGTTTTCTCACCCTCCACCCCCCCACACAAATTCACTCTCCTGCTGGTGCTAGCCCATCCAAAGTGACAACTCTTTACATAATCAAGTCGGGCTATTTCCTGCATAAATCCAGGTTTTCTCACATCCCCCCCACCCCCATACACACACAAACTCACTCTCCTGCTGGTAATAGCTCATCTAAACTGACCACTCTCCAAGTTTAAATCCAAGTTAAACCAGAACATCTGGGGGGGGGGGGTAGGAAAAAACAAGAAGAAACAGGCTACCTTGCATAATGACTTAGCCACTCCCAGTCTCTATTTAAGCCTAAATTAATAGTATCCAATTTGCAAATGAATTCCAATTCAGCAGTTTCTCGCTGGAGTCTGGATTTGAAGTTTTTTTGTTTTAAGATAGCGACCTTCATGTCTGTGATTGCGTGACCAGAGAGATTGAAGTGTTCTCCGACTGGTTTATGAATGTTATAATTCTTGACATCTGATTTGTGTCCATTTATTCTTTTACGTAGAGACTGTCCAGTTTGACCAATGTACATGGCAGAGGGGCATTGCTGGCACATGATGGCATATATCACATTGGTGGATGTGCAGGAGCTGTGACCAGTAGTAAGTACTGTGACCCAGGTAGCTTTCTCCAAATAAAATATTGTTTTTCTGCACTAGGAACAAAGCATAGAATAAGAGAGAGGCTTTTAAAACACTAAAGGCCTGTATGCATGTTTATCTTACCTACAGGCTTGCCGTGCCATTCCTTGGCAGAGACCCTAGGCAGGTCCCTCATTAGTCCAGAACCCAGACCTCTGGGATGTGTGTCTGTAAGAACCACTTCTTACCAGCAACTCCACACAACCCCTCTCCTTCAAGAATGTCACTTGACTCCCCCTAACCCCCAGCCCTTTGTCTTAGGTTTCCAGCTCTCTGGTTCTTCTTTGTTTACAAACTGTCCACCGAGCTCAATGGGGGTCAGAAGCAGACATCAAAATGAATGCTAGCATAGCCACCCATTTACCTACACCTGAGGGGCAATCTGACGCTACTGTCTTTTTTTCCAATATACAGCCAACCCCTGCTTGAATTAATAACTCATATCCATAGAGTACCTCCTTTACAAATGTCAGGCAGGCAGACAGACAGAACATATAATATTCATACATTATTACAGGACACCAAGTTGCCCTATCATCCATGTATACTGAGAAACTGAAAATAATTCTATACATGTTTAGCAAAGTCACCAACTATTATATGGAAGAGAATAGAGATCAAACTACCAGAGAGTTCTTCACAGTCTGCTTTGCTCTTAACTATCTTGAGCAGTTTAGTATCCTCTGCAAACTTTGCCACCTCGCTGTTTACCCCTTTCTCCAGATCATTTATGAATCGTTTGAATAGGATTGGCTCTAGGACTGACCTTTGAGGAACACCACTAGTTACCCCTCTCCATTCTGAAAATTTACTTTTATTCCTACCCTTTGTTCCCTGTCTTTTAACCAGTTCTCAATCCATGGAAGGATCTTCCCTCTTATCCCATGACAACTTAATTTACGTAAGAGCCTTTGGTGAGGGACCTTGTCAAAAGCTTTCTGGAAATCTAAGTACACTATATCCACGGGATCCCCCTTGCCCACATGTTTGTTTGACCCCCTCAAAGAACTCTAATAGATCAGGAAGACATGATCTTCCTTTACAGAAACGATGTTGACTTCTGCGCAACAATTTATGTTCTATGTGTCTGACTATTGTTTCAACTAATTTGCCCAGTACTGACGTTCGACTTACTGGTCTGCAATTGCCAGGATCACCTCTAGAGCCCTTCTTAAATATTGGGTTACATTAGCTATTGGGTACAGTAAGCAAGACAATTAGAGGACCAAAATCCTTTCTTTTCTAGCAGGATTTCCCCACCCCTTCCACCAAACCATGTTCAACGTAATAAATGAGTGTGGCAGGTTTCCTGGGGGAGTAACGTTTCTCTATCACTGAATTCTGGGTGTTTACTCAAAATTCTCAGCTTCCAGGCTTCAAGTGTCTTTGCAACAGTACCACTTGGGAAACTTCTACCCATACAGTGTCAACTATTGGAAAATAACATTAGGAAATCCCCTGATACATTGTTAACCTGTTTAATTGTGGTTGTGCAGCTGAAATAAAGCGAGGCAGCTCAGTGTTCCAACATGATCTCTTTTAGACAGCTGTATTTGCTCTGTGACTATACTGAGATTATTGTTGGACTCCTGTTATCAGAAGCTGTGGTGAAATGGCCTTTTTAATTTTGTTAGCGAGGGTAAGGTACTGTGCTCTTGAAAACCGTGAGGAACTCCCCTTACAAGAGCAGAGTTAAGGTTGTGCGGGTGTCCTGTCAGATAAATGTAACCTTTAAAGATGCATAGTCAATGCAGTCGACCTGTAGAACTCCTTGCCCGAGGATGTTGTGAAGGCCAAGACTATAACCGGGTTCAAAAAAGAACTAGATAAATTCAAGGAGGATAGGTCCATCAATGGCTATTAGCCAGGATGGGCTGGGATGGTGTCCCTAGCCTCTGTTTGCCAGAAGCTGGGAATGAGCAACAGGGGATGGATCACTTGATGATTACCTGTTCTGCTCATTCCCTCTGGGGCACCTGGCATTGGCCACTGTTGGAAAACAGGATATTGGGCTAGATGTACCTTTGGTCTGACCCAGTATGGCCATTCTTATGATGGTTTTCCCCCATGTTTGATGTTTATAATTTCAATTCTAAACTTCTGTATGGGATGTAGATATGGCTGTACAGGACAGTAGAATGACTTTCACTCAACATTCCTTGCTTTTTGACATTTGGGTTGAGGGATTTAAGCTCTCTCTTTTGGGAAGAGTATGATGCCCACAAGGCATGGTTGTGGGACTGCAACTACTAACTCCACCAAAAAGTATTTTGTGTTTTCTGAATATGAATCCTTCTGGTGCAGTCAAGACACCATTTAAGGGACGAACAAGGCTTTGCCATCCCGGTCTATCCCACTGTTTGTTGGAACGACTATGGCCACATCTATACTGCAGCCATGATACTAGCACAGCAGGTGTGTGCTGCTCTAGTACAGATGCTTTCATGATCACCTAATCTGACTGCCTGCAGGCCACAGAACCTCACCCATCCACTCTCTAACCTCTAGTTCGCCAATCACGATTCAAAGACATCACAGAATAGCAGGGTTGGAAGGGCGCTCAGAAGGTCATCTAGTCCAATCCACTGCCCAATCCCTAATTTTTGGCCCAGTTCCCTAAATGGCCCCCTCAAGGATTGTACTCATAACCCTGGGTTTAACAGGCCAATGCTCAAACCACTGAGCTATCCCTCCCCTATTCTTCCATCACAGTAGCTGATCCACCTCTCTGAGAGTCAGGGGCTAGATGGATGGAAGAACTCCTCTGCTGACCTAGCCCTGCCTACACCAGGGGTTTAGGTCAACAGAACCACCCTCGAGTAACGCCGTAGCCAGAAGCAGTTGCAGCTGAAGTGGGTTTTTTTACCCATGGAAGCTTATGCCCAAATAAATCTGTTAGTTTTTAAGGTGCCACCGGACGACTCATTGTTTTTTGTAGTAGCCAGAGCAACCTCCGTTTCTGGCAGAGCCCGGCTCCCCCCTTCATGTTTCTGGAAGTTAACTTCTTCTTTCGAGGACAGGGTGGCAGCCTAACACCCTAGCCCAGCCAGGAGGGCCAGACAGCTGCTTCTCACCTCCCACCCCTTAGAGCCGAGTGGGAGCTCCACGGGGGCCCCCCACCCACCCACCGACGCTGTGAGGGGGCAGCGCTCCCTGCGCGGCGCCCGAACGATTCCAAAGGCGACAGCAACAGGAGACGAAGCTTGGCGACGTCAGAGGCCTCCTCCTCCGGCCCCGCCCCTGCAACACCCCCCAATGTGGGCCTTGACCCGCCCCCTGCGCGCGCCAGACTGCCCGGGCCGGTGGTGCGCGAGGTCCCTGGCTGCCTCTGCCTGGTGCCCGCGCGCGGGGAGCCGGGGCGCGAGCCGGGCCCGGCGCAGAACGCGGGCGGGCACGCGCGCGCTCCTCCTCCTTCTCCCTTGCACGCGGGCACGCAGGTGCCGGGCCGCCCCGCTCCGCTCCGCTCCCCGCCTCCGGGCCGGCCCCCGGCGGGATCTCGGCGCGTCTGCGGGAGGAGCTGGGGCCCGCCGCGGCGGCTGGGACAGAGGAGCCGCCGCCGCCCCGACCCACGTGAGGAGCCGAGACGGGCCATCAGCAGCAGGAGCCAGGGAGCCTCCCTGCAGCGGCTGGCACCGGGAGCTCCGGCCGGCAGGAGGAGCCCCTCTGCTCTCGGGGCGATTGCTGCCCCGCTGCTCCCAGCGCTCGCCGCCTGCGCCCGGGGCTGTCGTGCTCCCCCCTTCTCCTTCTCCTTCCCCTTGTGAGACTCGCCCTCCCCGCCCCTGCGCCGGGCAGCTGCCCCGGTTATCTTGGGGGGGCGGGGGGCGCTGCAGCCCCCGCCCCATGCACGTGAGCCCTGCGGGGTGGATGTGCCGAGGAGGAGCCGCCGGGTCAGCCCAGCCCTGGCTTTCGGGGGATGCCCAGCGGGGCAGCGATGACTTGAGGCTGCGCTTTGCCATGGATGGGATGACATGCTTCATGGTTGCTTTGGTGACGCTGGTGTGCTGGTGCCCGGGTCAGCCTGGGTGCACCGCCCGCCGCCCGGCCCTGCGAACGGGTCTCCCGGTGCTGCTGTCTCTGCTGCTGTCCGTGCCGGGCTTCCTTCCGATGGCAGGTAAGGAAACAAAAGGGAGCAGAGGCCCCATCCGTGGGCTCCTCTGCCTTGCACAGAGCAATGCTGTGCCGGGTTGCCTTGCCCGTGGTTGCAGGTGTGGTCCCTACGGGTAGTGCTGTGCGGAGGCTTCTTTGTACTGAGGACTCGTGGCAAAATTTGCCAGGGCTCTAATTTGTTCTGTGCTATGTACCAAAGGCCTGTGTGAGCTTGTTTGTTCTAGGCTATTTTGTGACGGATACTTCACTTTAAAAAAACATTTTATAGCATTACTGCAAGCACTTTTGGGATAAAGGTTTGTTCCCCTCTCCCGGAGATGACAGTGCTTACGTTAAAGGTGTAAGAGGGGGAGAAACAGTATCTAACTACACTTGAATATGGTCATTCCTTGTTCTTCTGTGCCAAAACCCTCGTGCTTTGTGTACTGGGAAGACTGAAAGCAAGTCATAGTAAAAAAGCTCCGTACAGGGAATTTCAAAATATTTTTTGGAGATTTAAAAAGAGAATGCGCTCCCCAAAAGGTTTTTTGGAAAACATTTTTTTTTTTTAATGTTAAGGCATAATTTCTTAAAATGAGCAGACAGGCAGTCACTCAGCTACCTTGCTTTAAATAAGGCTATCAGCATAGAATTGAGGATGTAATTCATATGGAGTGGTGTCAGTTTCCCCCCATCCTTCTAAATCTGTCTGGTAATCAGGTGTTTCCGTCTTCTATGATGTCATCTGAACGCTGATGTGCTCTTGGAGTCCATGCAGTGAATAGATTTCCCACAACTTGCATGCTTCTGGAGGGATTGTTGGGCAGTCTGTACATGCTTGTTGTTGTTTTGGTTGTGTTTTTTAACAAAAGATACTTGGATATCCTGAATAGTATTGACACTTGGAAATGTCACAACATCAATTTGTAATAGCATTTGCAGGATTCTAGATGTATTGTTTTGTTTTCTGTGTGGAACCATAAAGTGCTGAAATTAGAAATCATTGTCTAGTATGCAACTAATTTAAAACAAAAAATGTAAACCTAGCAGTGAGATGACAACTGTCTGAAGCTGATTACTGTTCATACTTTATATGGAAAGTTAATATTTTGTCAATGCTTAAATGCGGTTTAAATGAAACTCATGTAGTTGTTAAATTATATTACGAAGACGTGTCATACACACAAACTTCTTATTGTATCACTTTTATCAGTAGACACTTGTGCCTGCTCAACAGATGACATTTCATAAAACAGACACCTTGTGTTGATGTATACTTTTGTTGAAATCAAAGTTAAGATTTATATTTAAACACCTTCTTAGGTGATAATGATAGCATAATAAACAGTAAGACTTGCCTTAACCAACCATGCAATGGACCAGCCAAAGTTTGACATTTAGGAAAGGCTGACTTTCTTTTAATGAAGGGTTAGCAAAATTGAAGTGGCAATGACTGATGTATTTGTAAGTGTTGGATATATTTAAAAATCCCTTTACAGATGGGAGGGTTACCTGTTTTTTGGTGATTCTCTGTGCATTTGTACAGTGTATATCTTCATTTATTAATACTTCATCTTTGACATTAGTTCATACTGTGGTATTGCATTTTTAAGGTCTGATCCAACTCCTTTTGCAGCTGGTGGGGGATTTTCAACTTATTTTAAACAGTTGGTTGGACTCCTATGAAGGTTGAAAATCTCCAGTAAATTTCAGAGATGCTATAAGTAGAATAGAGTTTAGGTATGATGTCTTTAGGGAGGTGTCAAAGCTGTCTTTTTCTGGAGGATAGTAAAAATATTTTTAGCTCTTTATGACTTTAGACAGTAAGTGGAGTGTGACTTCTGTTTTAATTAGCAGCCTTTAATTGCAATGTCTCAGGGCCTCTGGACATAATATTTGTGGTGCTGTTTTTATAATTAAACCAGCGTCTAGCCAGTGGAAGCTAATACTCAGGGAAATATGGCTCATTCACTGTGATGATTTTAATGTTAAAAGGGTTGGGAGTGTTCTAAGAACACTGCAATAACAAAAATAAAGTTAGTCTGAAGTGCTTTATAAAAGACCAATACAGGAATCTGTCAATGGTATCTTATTCACTATCCTAATCTTTGGTTTTGGTTTCACTAAAGAGTGCATGAAAACAAGAGAGGTGGTCATATGCCCCTATTAATATGCAGTAAACTTTGAGTATTCTCTTAGAATTGCCTGACATGTAACACTGCTTCAGCATCTCTTATTGGGTACAAAGTCTTCTGATGGTCAGTGACATTCATTCTTTAATAGTTGAAGAGCTACTAAAGCAAATGTACCACATAAACTGTACAAGAAGCTTATTACAAGATAATGAAATAACTGTTCTTTAAAGCAACTTGCTTACAGTTGAAGTATCAAAGTGTAGATTACTTTCTGTAAAATTCTGACTTCTGAAAACCAGGAAATAGAGAGTTATGGTAAATGCTCACCCGACCTTAACTCTGCCCTCTTTGAGCAATACCCTATACCACACATACTCGCTCTCCTTTTCAGTACAACACACAGATGCTACCTGCATCTGATTTACACTCAAACACTGAGCCTATTCCCCCTGACAAAATACCACACTTGTAAAATTTAACAGCCACTTCACGCTCTTTTATAGCCCCATCACAACTGCACATAGGATACCACTTAAACCTATATCATTCTCTAGCTATCATTAAAGCAGTCTGTGGTTTAATATCCCACCTAACTAATGACAATATCCATGGCAAGAAGATCCCAGGACCCTGCTATTGACCCAGACTGCACAATTCTGTGTTGACATGATGCAGACTGGAACCTCAAAATACACATGCGCCTCTTTTCTTTGATTCCCACACATTGGGGTCCTCAGGCCCAGATCTCTTCATGTCACAGTTTGGTAATCCTCCTCAAACTAATCCCCAGATTTCCTCATATCACAAATGCACTTCCATTAACCTGCCCCAACTATTGCTTCCACCATTCAGTTCAGCTACATTTAACACCCTGAATGCAGCTGGAGTGCATGCAGATAATTCCCGGTGGCTATTGCCAGGTCCAGGGGGCAGAGTTAATGTGGTTACGTGTACCATAACTCTGCATTTCCAGGTTTTCAGACGTTTGAGTTTTGCTGAACTCAGTGTTCTGGAAGGGCACGAGCTATCAGTAAGAACCCTTAATTCTGTGTTTAGGGAGGTTTTTTGGCCATGTAATTATTACAAAAGTTAGGGATTAACTTTTCTCCATGAAGTGGGGAGAAGTCCTAACGGATCCTGTGCATTCAGGTAGCAGATTAGCAAAGAAGCAAACTTAGACCCAAACTTTAGTCATCTGTATTTCAGAGTTCCCTTTCTCTGGAGGCTCCAGTATATTTGAGGTGCTAAACAGCAGAAATTGGGACACTTGAATGAAACATGTTCGAATGCCCACTTTTTTTTTAAAAAAGAGAAATGAGGGGTCGAGGGCCCAAGTTTAAAGCTGTTAGGTGCCTATTAATGTACATCTGAAAATAATATAAACATGTGCAGATCATCTCATAGAAGGGCATAATTTAGAAATAATGACACTTTCTATTGCTCGTGCTCAGTATGCTGCAATTTTCAATGCTTACAGCTGTTTTAGAAATCAGACTTTCATGGATGGTGCTCTTGATTGAGGACTAGTTGCTTGCTAAATTAAAAAGGTAAGCTGTTGAGGGTGTGTGTGTGTGTGTGTTTTGTAGCAGAAAAAGGGGTGGTCCCGTCCCCCCCCAAAAAAGCCTGAAGATAGTTTGAGAATTTCAAAACAAAAGATTTTGTAGAACAGCAGACTTAACTTACAGTATAGTAAGTTCTGATCTTACAGTATAGCAAGATGATATCTTTGGCCTCTATTTACTGGGATGTAAATGTTTCTAAGGAGAACGGGGTGGCTGAGTGGTTGAAACACTCTCTCCTTTTGTGTTTCTGACTATGGCTTAAACTTTGATTGTAAATGAAATGAGTTTTGTGTGTGCAGCTTCCCATGGGCAGCACTCTAAATCTCACAACCATCGCACGTGGTTTGGCACAACTTGGCCGTGTCTGGAGACCAAAATGGAGCATTTATTGAGGCGGTCCCTGTAGGCTTGAGATAAGAATACTGGTGGGGCAAAAAGGGAAGCTTGCATGTCAGCTGCCCTTGCTTCCAGTTACTTAACTTTCCCAAGTGCACATACCCGGTACTCATTTTAAATCTGGAATTAATGTTGCATCAGGGAAGCTCATGTGTTATAGCTGGGATAGAAGTCATGCGGCACAAGAAGACATAAAAATCCTGTTCCCTGTCAGAAGTCTGGTTTGAAAATGTTTTCAATTAAAAGCTGACAGTGACCTTATATCCTGTCCTTATGCTGGAAGATGGAAACAGATTTGGGCTGTCAGCCATGGACTTCCAATTCTGCAAAGACGTAATATCTTCCATTCTTAAAGAACAAAAAAAAAGTTTTCTTTGTCTTTCCAGCATGCATGTGCTTTTTATAGTAACACAGTAAAAACTTATTTAAAGGCATATCAACTTAATTGCATTTCTATCAGAAAGTGTTTGACCTAAGATTATTATAACTGAAAGAGGCTAGAGAATATTTTTGTTTAAAGCTGTCTCTGGTCATAGAGAGGTAATATTCAGTCCTGGGTCACAGGCAATGTGGCTTTTGGGATGAGGGAGGTGGAGAAACTCATATGGAGTGAAAGAAGGAAAACATACCAGGATTTCTTTTAAAAATGGCAGTTGTTTGAAGTCTTCTGTGGGTTTGGACTAAATCCTGGTGAAACTGGATTAGTGGACAGAGGGCAGGCGAAAGAAAATCGGAGGTGCCTGTTAAATACAGTTTACCACACACAATCACCAACCGCCAAAAAGTGCTGTACATATATTTTAAAATGGTTTTTAGCAATCCTGTAGTTATGAACTGCTACATTTGTCTGATGGGAGGAAGTAAAATTAAGGTAAGGAGCTTCACCTTCTAGCTTTCAAGAGATTATAAATGGCTAAAAACCCCAAGAGTTT